TCCTCAAAGTATTCTATGAAATAGAAAAGGAGGGAACCCTTCCAAACTCATTCTATGAGGCTATGATACCTATGATACCAAAACCAGACAAAGATACATCAAGGAAAGAAAAATTCAGACCAATATCCCTGATGAACATAGATGCAAAAATTCTCAATAAAATTCTGTCAAATCACATACAAAAACATATTAAAGCTTTTCCGCCTAGTCCCCCTACCCCCAAGCACCATCATGCTCACTCCGAGCTCCAGGCTCCTGCTAAGCTAGCGCTGCTGCCGTCTCAGTCTAGTCACCATCATGATTATCTACCAGGACCTCATCAGCCACAATGAGACGTTCTCCGACATTTACAAGATCTAGGAGATCACAAACGGGCTCTGCCTGGAGGTGGAGGGAAAGATGGTCAGTGGGACCTAGGACCGAGGGTAACATTGATGACTCGCTCATTGGTGAAAATGCCTCCGCTGAAGGACAGGAGGGCGAAGGTACTGAAAGCACCCTAATCACTGGTGTTGATATTGTCATGAACCATCACTTGCAGGAAACCAGCTTCACAAAAGAAGCATACAAGAAGTACATCAAAGATGACATAAAATCAATCAAAGGCAAACTTGAAGAACAGAGACCAGAGAGAGTAAAACCTTTTATGACAGGCGCTGCAGAACCAATCGAGCACATCCTTGCTAATTTCAAAAATTACCAGTTCTTTATTGGTGAAAACATGAATCCAGATGGCATGGTTGCTCTCCTGGACTACCGTGAGGATGGTGTGACCCCATATATGATTTTCTTTCAGGATGGTTTAGAAATGGAGAAATGTTAACAAACTTGGCAGTTACTTTGGACCTATCATCTGTCATCATAAGTGGCTGCTGCTTGTCACCCACACAACACCAAGACTTAAGACAAATGGAACTGATGTCATCTTGAGCACATTTATTTGGAGTGAGGCATTGTTTTTTAAGAGAACGTGTCATGTAGGTTGTCTAAAAATAAAGTGCATTTAAACTAAAAAAAAATATTAAAAAGATAACGAACCACGATCAAGTGGGATTCACCCCAAGGATGCAGGGTGGGTTCAACACATGGAAATCCATAAATGTAATTCATCATATTAATAGACTTAAAAACAAGAATCATATGATCATCTCAATAGATGCAGTAAAAGCATTTGACAAAATTCAGCCCCCCTACATGTTCAAAACACTAGAAAAACTAGGGATAGTAGGAACATACCTTAACATTGTAAAAGCTATTTATGCTAAACCCAAGACCAACAGAATTCTGAATGGAGAAAAACTGAAAACATTTCCTCTAAAAACTGGAACAAGACAAGGATGTCCTCTTTCACCTCATCCTTGAAACTTCAGCCAGAGCAATTAGACAAAAGAAAGAAATTAAAGGGACACAAATAGGAAAAGAAGAACTCAAACTATCACTATTTGCTGATGACATGATTCTATATCTAGAAGATCCAAAAACTTCCACCAAAAAGCTTCTAGAACTCTTAAATGAATTCAGCAAAGTAGAGGATATAAAATCAACACCCATAATCAAATGCATTCTTATACATCAGTGATGAATCCACACTGAAAGAGAAATTGGGGAAACAACTCCATTCACAAAAGCCTCAAAAAAAGAAATACGTGGGAATCAATCTAATGAAAGAGGTGAAAGACCTCCACAATGAAAAATACAGAACACAAAAGAAAGAAATTGAAGAGTTTTTCTTTTTATTTCTTCGATGCTTCCTGGAAACTTGGGCGGCCAGTATTATATTTAGTCAGTGTACTTCCTTTAGCTTAGGAAACACATTCTACAGAGGAAAACCGCTTCCAGGATCCCTGAATTTTCATTTTCAAAACTCAAAAAGAAACGAAATTTGACCCTTTAACAAAGATTGGAAATTTGTATGGCTTTTAGTGGTTATCAATGCATAGATATTTTAGGACTATGCCTAGATTTTTTAGCAACTGCATAAATGAACACGTAAAGATGTAATTTTGACCTGTGATTTCATTTCCCACCCTAATTTCATCTTGTACCTGACATTTGTTCTCTTTAATAAGCAAGACAAATTTTATCAGATTTTGGAAGAAGTAATGAAATGCAAGAAGGCACAGACCAATGTTCTGTGATACTACTTTATCAGAGCAAGTTGACAGAAAAGTGAAGGTTAAGGTCCCTCAGGGAGTTGCTGAGCACACATGGGGGAGAGAGTCTGATTATGGAGGAGAAGTGAACAAGCTGGGACCCCTGCTTACTGGACAAGGGGTGCAGTTGTGATTGCTTCAGCTCTTCCATCTGCAGTCTAACTGTAGAGAAGGGGAGTAGCAAAGATCTCCTAAGAGCTCCTGGAACAATCCTCCTTTTCCTGCTGGTGCATTACAGAGCTGTCTCTAAATATCTTTGAACTTAAGTTAGGCTAAACTGTGGATAAATCCCTATCTCCGTGGCCATTTAACTCCAGGCCCAGTTGTACCAAGGATCACACTTAACTCATATTCTGCACCCAGGCCCTATAGGTAAGGCCTGGCCACCATGGGAGGAAGGGTAGTATATAGTTTTGGAGACATCAGCAGCATACAGATTAAAAGGGATACACAAGGAGACCATCTTTAGTCTCATTTAATAATTGCAAAATGATCTAAATTTGAAAATAGCTTTCTGTTGCAGAGAAGTAAAATTCTCTAAAGGATTTATATTAGAGCAGCGCTAATTAACCCCCAGAGCTAGTTGAGAGTGTTGTTTCATGCTGTTCCTGAGAAAGAACCTCTCTCGGGGCACCAACATTTTCTTTCCAGTCTCTGAGATTCCAAAGTTCTCTGGAGGTGGCCTATGCAGTTACTCTCTGGTTGCCACCCCAGGACAAAGTCCATAGAAAATTTCTCTGTATTCCTCTCCAGCAGCTTAGCACACAGCTCTGAAATGAATAGAAAGCAAGTAGAAGCAGAACAAGATTCAGGGGAAACAGTTCAGGAATTTCACGACTTGATAAAACTAAAGAATTATATGGACTCTGAATGGATCCGTATACATGTATGCATAACTTCAATTTCCCTTTTTTCTTTATCCCACGGGGATAAGGGGAGAAGTTTCAATAGTTACAGAAGGTACAAAATTTCAAAGCCATAGCCTTGGGGACAAGTACCTACATTTCCCTTGTGTTTCACAATATTGAAGTAGAGAAGGCTACATGTAACTGTAGAAATATTAAACTGTCCTTTGGCTGAGGGCCTTTTTGGGGAAGGAAAAAGAAGACAAAAAAATCCATTAGCATAGCTGTTTGGGGAAAAGAGAAGATAATTTGATGGAGCCCCAGAAAGACAAAAGATCAATTTATGCAACCAATATTATTTACAAGTGAGGAAAAGAGGAAGCAACTGTGGAGTTAAATTTAAAAAAAGGTGAATAGGTGCCCAAAAGAGAAAGGGCACTAGAGACATAAGAATAGGAAGAAAGAAGGCCAAAAGGGTAAATGAGCAAGCATAGGTCAGGAAAAACAGAGCGTGGATATTGGTGAATGGGAATAGTTAGATGAGAATGAGGCTGGAGAGAGGAAGCAGGGCCAGGCCTTGCAAGGCCTTTTTACCACACTGAAGACTTTTGACTTAATGTCTTAGGCAGGTAGATTCAAGGAACCACCACAACCACGTACTGAGATATAACTAGAAGTCACAGGAGTATAAAAATACAGAAACACAATGTGCTGCCATCAAGCCAGAGCCAGCCATTTCCTTGCAAGGAAGTATCTGAAACAACCGTCACTGTCCCAAACGCAGCATGGAGCCCAGAGCTTCCAGTCTGAACACTGACATTTACTCCTTATGTGTACAAGTTGTCTCATCGCCCTAAAACTCCCTATTATGGTTTGGGAATGAGGTGTCCCTCCAAACCTCCTGTGTTAATGCAGGAATATTCAGAAGTGAGAAGGATTAGATTGTGAGAGCAGTTAACTCAGTCTGTCCATCCAAGTTTCAATGGACTGACTGGGTGGTAACTGTAGGCAGGTGGTGCATGGCTAGAGGAAGTGGGTGACTGCCGGCATGAACTGGAAGGGTTCATCTGCTCTGTGGCCCCTTTCCCCACTTCTGTCTCTATTTCCTGACCCTACCATGAGCTGAGCAGATTTTCTCCACTGGGCCCTTCCACCATGATGAGTTGCCTCCCCTTGGTCCCAGAGGAATGGAATCATCCATCTTGAGAGTGAGATCTCTGATACTGGGAGACCCAAACAAACTTTTACTCCTCTAAATTGTTCTTGTCAGGTATTTTGGTGAGAGTGATGCAAAAACAGACTAGAACTTGGAGTGTTTTTATTTTTTTGCTGCTGTTGTTTTTATTTTTAAACAGGACCTCACATACACTAGGTAGGTCAGTACTCTACCACTGAGTGACATCCCCAGCACTTTGCTTATTTCTAATTTGAGACACATCTCACTAAGTTACTGAGGTTGGCCTCAAACTGTGGCCTTCCTACTTTAGTTTCCTATGTAGTTGGAATTACAGGCATCCTCCACTGTTCTTACCATGTTTGCATCCTCTAAAGTAGGAATATTTAGATCTATTTCAGAGGGTTGTTGTAACAATTAATGAATTGTTAATGTAGGTGAAAACGAGTAACTCATTGCCCAGAATATACATACTCAGTGAAAACTATTTTCTTTTCTCCCTTCTTCTATATTTTTATATATGACCATAATCCTACTGGAATGAAATTCTATCCCTTCTACCGATTCAAGTCTGACTTGATTTGTTTATTCACTTACTCATTAGTCCATTTAATCAATGATGGTTACTAAGTGCATGTCACATACCAGGAAGTGTGATAGGGGTTGAAGATGAATATAGCAGTGTCTATCCTACTGGAAAGGAGAAATAAATAAATACACAAAGGCAATGTAAAAATAATATGAAATCTTCCTTGACTGCTCCAGTTGTAAGTGATTAATCATCTCTCTGATTCTTTATGCTACTTTCATCACTTATGGCAAAATTACCTTGAAATGTAGTTAACTTTTCAAGTGGCTATGATTCATCTCCCGAACCGAGTGTAAGTTCCATCAGGCTGGGTACCATCTCTCATCATTTTTGCATTGTCCTCAGTGTCTTGATCATGTGAATTCAACAAATACCTGTTAAGGATTGTGACAAGATGGAGAAGCAGGACCTTATTTACTCACACAGTTAAACAGGCAAAGTCCTATCATTAATACACCAGTACTCTGCTTCCTCCCCGCACCCATTGTAGCTTATTATGGAATTACTGCCAAAAGAAGCAAGGCGCACATTGTAACACATTGTAAATTTGCATCCATAAAGCGCATGTGTCCTTTCCCTTTCCCTACTCCTAAACTTCAACCTCTCTCAATTCTACAGTCTCACCTGTACCCAACTTATATTCTGCAGATGGATGACCAAACTTTTTTTATTTTTTTTTGTTTTTACAGGAAAGTAAAAGCATTGGAGAAACATTTCTCAGACTCTCTTCTGAATGTCACTATACACTCATTTGTATGTCTCTCTTTCTTCTTCCCCGTATTTTTTTGAAGTGTGTAATTAATATTACTTCTATGGATCTGATTTTCTTCTCATTCAGATAAATCCTAATTTTTCACTTATTCTTCCCTATTCCAGGCCCAACACTCAATATTTTAAACCCTTTGTTTTATCAGCTACTTCCTCGGAACAAATTAGTATGTTCAAGATTGTCTAAATAATTAAAGATAAAGAAAGATAATGAAGGAAGGGGAGGAAGAAGAAAAAAAAAATCTGTTATTGATTGAGTCTCCTCCACTAACTACCTTTTCTCTGCTTTCTAGGCGTAATGCAGCTTAGGCCTTTATTTTGTGTGTGTGTGTGTGTGTGTGTGTTTGTGTGTGTGTGTTTGTGTGTGTGTGTGTTTGTGTGTGTGTGTGTTTGTGTGTGTGTGTGTGTGTGTGTTGCTGGGGATTGAACCATGGCCTTGTGCATGCCAGGCAAGCACTCTTATAACTGAGCTAAATCCCCAGCCCAGCAGGTGGCCTTTCTAACCACTTTCTCTAAAATTAAAAATGACTACAGTTTCCATGCAAAAGTCTTAGAAAACATGTTTCACAGGCATTTTTTATGTCTGCATTTTTCTTCATCATAATTTTAAAGGTGATTTTTTTTCATCATAGAACTGAATCATCAATTACTTAATACCTTAAGTTGAACATTAAGGTTGTTTCCAATTTCTTTTAAATCATTTTTTTTGAAAATGCCATGTTGAGTACCTATATATGTACTCTTTTGTGCCTTTTTCTGATACTGTCTTTAATAACCAAAGCTATTCTTGACCAGAGACCCCACTGTGGATAGGCTTAATATATTCACAGCTAACCTGCTTTGGAAGAGTTCACTCAACATCTATACCCTGACATTTACTCTTCAGCTCACTGAAGACTGGCTTCCATTCTCACAGTACTACTGAATCGATTTGCAGTGTCCTTCAGTGTCAGGTTTCTAGATTGGTCTCACCAGTTCCTCTAAAATATGTGACACCATCAACAATTCCTTCTTACCCCAATGACACTTTCTCTGCTTTTTTTTTTTTCCTATCATATTACCATTCCTTAGATTCATCCTGGTCTTTGTATGCCTCCACCTTCCAAATCAATTTTTTCCACATTGCTTGTGCCTCTTGTTAAAGTTTTTAAGCTATCCTTAACCTATTTTTCAGTGGATTTTGCCTTTGGGTAATCTCATCAATGACATATTAAACACTTCAAAACAAATAACTCCTCTATCTGCCTCTAGTCTAAACATGATTTCCTTTGTCCAGGCCACTACATTCAAACACCAGTGGACATTGCCTTCAAACTCTTTATTTCCAAAACCAAATTCATTATCTTCTCCCAAAATTTGTTCCTTTCCCTGCATTTGATACCTCAGATATGATGACTCTATGATAGTTCCTTGTTGTCCAGGCTAGAAATCTTAGTGCCGTCACTACTTCTAATTATCCATCAAGTCCTACCCCTTTTTTCCTTAGAGTTCTTCTTCTCCCTGAGCTGTGAATGTCATAACTTGCACGATGTTAATTATGTAGCACTTTATGCTTTGAACTGGGATTCGCTTCTCATACTCTCATACTTTCTATTTCTTTCTGTAACCTATGATCCTATGATCTTTTAGTCTATGTCATGTCCACACTGGGAACTGGATTTCTATTCCCAATTCATAACACAAAAATCCTATTTGATAAGATGAAAGAGATAAATTACTTATTTGTTTTCACATCATAAAAATTTGTTGAATTGAATAAATGATTGAATGAATAATGGCATCATGCTCCTTGGCCAAATTCTGAAGTAGGAAGTATATCTTTGGTCTCCACCTTCCTTTTCCACATCCCTTCTATTACTCCTTCCTCCAAAGTATTCAGGTCTTTCGTGTAGGCCCTTCTCTCTTGTTACATGAAGAAATGACCTAATTAAACACTTTCACTGTGAGATGTGTAATAGCTTTCCTAAAAATATTTTTCTGTTGAGGAGCCAATGGGAGAGCATAATTTAATCAAAACAAATGAGTGACAAGTGAAAGGCATTATGGGATTTATCAAAGGATTTTGCAGCCATCTCATGTTGCCTGTGTATAGCAGAGATAGAATCCCCACATGATATAACAATAACTAAACTTATTTTGGTTTGAAAAAAAACTAGGGTAAATTCCAACTCCGTCATCCACTATAGGGAAACCATGGTCTTAGCTCATCCTCTTGTTTGCCCTCTCAGTAACATGGGCTGTGTGAGCTAATCAGTGGAAAGGTGGCCAGTCCCTGAGAGGTGAAAACAAGGCTGCATTCCCCTGGACTAAAATGGCCTTTCTGATTTGGGTATGTCAATAAGCCATATATCTCCACCTCAGAAACTCTCATGTCCTTTATTCAGTAGTTTAAAAGGAGAGGGAAACGTTTCAGACACACCAAATCTACACACAGTTTTTGCATTAAGTCATTAAAATCCCTCTTCAAAGCTTTGCAGGTACTTAAGTGGATTTAAAAGAAAAGCGAAGGACAGTTTATATTTCAAGAATTACATAATTCTCAGACAGCTTAGTGCATGTTTTTTCTTTTCAAATTCCCAGTGGCCCCTGGCTTTATGTGGAGAATAATGTGCTCACAGTAATGCTGGTAGGCACAGCAGTCTCCCATTTTTTCAGGCCGCAGGACTCCTCATTACACACAGCTAGGATAATGTTCTACATTGACACACAGGGCTCTCCCCAAATATCACTACATTCATGCAACACATTGTTTCACTGGTGAAGAAAGAAGAAATTTCAGAGTGGGATCAAGGCAGCAAGAGACTGGTCTTTTGAAGTGCTGTGACTTCATTTTATAAACTGGATATCTCAATCCAAAGATATTTTATACTGTAGATGCTGTATTTTTCATCCACTTTTTTAAAGAATCTGTTGAAATGTATTTTCTTTTATTTCTGTGAAGACATTAGCATGAAAAATTGAAGTGTTTCCATCCTGCCAAAGAGTAACGCTTCTTTTCCCTGGCATCTACACTTGCCACTGTGGCTTTGTAGAAAGAAGTACTTGGCCAATGGCATCTTGAAGACCCTCTTTCTGTCATCCAGTGAGATACAGTTTAAAGAGGGGCCATATGCAAACTTGCTTGATCTCCCCCTCTGCTCTTCTTCTCAAAACTATCTCCTCCAAACATACTACTTTGCTTATTAATCTGAGTAACTAACCTTTGTGATCCATTTCATCCAAAGAATTTAGATTTTTTCACCAGTATTCTTAACACTTTATTTCATAGGATTCTCTTCTAGGGCCTCACAAATGTCAGAGACATCCACTTCTAGCCAAAAAAAAAAAAAAATTAAAACAAGACTTACCCTCTGCTAAAATACCTAAAACAAAACAAAATTTTAAAAAACAGAAAAACAAAACAATATATACGGAAAAAATGGTTTTCAGGAATTTGAACATCAGAAAATTAATAGCAATGTCACTGAAATTCAAGACAAAAAAAAATTAGGTGAGCCTAATGAATGCCCCATCTTATTAATTGGAGAGAATTCCCAGTCTGTAGGACAGGAAGCTTAGAGATGTACTACTATAGAGGAAGCCGAGCTGGAAGTCTGACTAGATCAAGGCAGTTGGAATTCTGGGTGTACCAGAAAGAAGGCTTCAGAGAAAGCTCTGTGGGGCTCTTCATTGGGTCTCCCTAGAATGTAAAGGAATCATATTCCATCATATAATTCTGCCCACAAATAACACACATGATGAAATTAGCAGTCAAGAACACTGAAAAAGTTTTTAAGTTATAGTGGTTTTTAAAATGAAGACAAATGGCATAAAATAGAAACCCTATGTGTCAGAGTTTTTTTTTTCCTGCAATCTACTGTAACAAAATTTTGAAAACTTTTAAAACTCAGAAAAGTTGAAGGAATAATATAAAATAATTCATGTATTTTTAAACCTAAATTTACAAAGATTTACGTAGATTGTATTGGTTTACACTTGCTTAATCTATGTCTTTCTTGACAGAGGGATGATACATGGCTGAATCATTAGAGAGTAAATTACAGATTTTTGATATGACATCCATTTTTAAATACTTCACCATGCATATCTTAAGAATAAAGCCATTTTGCTATATAATCATAATATTATCTATCATACCTAAGAAAATTAACAATATATCTGTTATTTGAATATTCAATCCATATTCAATTTTCTTCAATTATGTCCCAAATGACTTTTATACACTTTTTTTCCATACAATATTCAAACTCATTCAATTTAGGACATTAACCCTACTTCTTTTTTTCTTCGTGACATATTCTTTCTGGGAAATGCCAACCAACTTGTCTTTTAGTATCTTTCACACTTTGGATTTGTCCACCTCTTTATGGTGGTACTTTACTTTTGCCTCTGTCACCTGTATTTCCTCTCTAGGTGTTAGGTCCAGAGGTTTGGTGAATTTAAGTCAAATATTTGGAACAAGAATTACTTCATAGGACACTCTGTCTGTACATCTGATCAATAAACTTTCATACCCATTCTTTTCATTAAACTTGTTCTCCATTCTCCATGAACATTTCCAGCAGTGGTCCAGCAAGGGTTCCAGTAGGAACCCTTCAGTATGATT